CCGCCGCTGCGGGTGGCAAGGGCAGCTTCGCTCTGCTGCGGCCCGTCGCCAGCACGCTGTGGTCTTGGGATGCTGTCGGTCCCCACGAGCGCTGCCCGGCGCTGGCCAAAGTGCCCCCCGTGCACCCACCACGGCCTCCGCTTTTTGTCTTTCCAGTTGTTCCCTTCTACAGTTCCTCCAAGTTAAAAATATCTTTGCCTTTTTCACCTGCCGGCATCACTGTGTTTCTGTAAAGGATTTTCTGGGCAATGCTGACGTCTGCCCCGTTTCTGAAGTTGCTCAGTATTCCTTTTAAATTTTCTCTTTTTCGCTTTCCGAGCGTCCAGCTATTTCCTATCGTTAATGTTTGCATCTGCCCTCAAAATCATCGCAGATCTGATGATAATATGATCTCTAGACAATTCTTGTTCAGTGGTATGAATCTCATTTATCATACAGGGAGGATAGGGCTAAATCCGAAATACTCATTGATCTTGTCAGTAAATGTGGAAGCAAACTGACTCTTAATCCCTTAAGAAAACTACTCCCCTTCTAATTCTTATTCCAGTCAGTGTAAATGTGCTTCACTGCACTCATTTTTCTAGCTTTTTCTCTCCTTTTCCTGCCTAAACGTTTCTCAGTCGCGGGGCGCAGGAAGCCTCTCCTAACGCCGTGTGAATCACGACAGCTTGCCGCCTAGTTGTAACGTGCTGTATCAGAGCCAGGCACCTCTGCCTCCCCGGCCACCTGGGCTCCTCGGCGGGAAAAAAACGGGCCCCCCTCGGCACGCTCGTGCGCCGCGGCGACCGTCCGCGCGGCCCCCCTGCCTCACCCCCGTCTCCCCTCCCCTCCCCTCCGCAGAGCTGGGCGAGGTGGACTGCGCGGCCTGCGCCCCAGAGGCCCCCGTGCCGGAGTGGAGCTGCGTGCCCGCCTGCCCCGAGGGCTTCTACCCCGGCGAGAGCCCCGGGCTGCCCCACCAAGTCTGCAAGAGGTACGGTACCCTCCCGGCGCCAGCCCGTGTCCCGCCAGACGCGTTCAGGCACCCGGCGGCCTGTCAGACACGAGCTCCGCGCTCCGTTTGCCCCCGGGGCCCTGTTTGAGCAGTGTTTCCCCCCCCACCCACACCCCGCCATGCCCTTGCGCAGCGCGGGGGCTGCGTGGCGAAGACAGAGAGAGGCTGTAAGAGAGCGATTTTCTCCCGCTCCCGGGCGCTCAGCGCTGCGAGCGGAGAGCGGGAGCCAAGTCAGCCTCATTAAAGCGAACATGAAAGGGAAGGATGAAAGGTGACTTTGAACGTGCTGTCTCGCAGGGTAGTAACAAACGCAGCACGGTTCCTGCCTGCTGGAAGGTTTTCCCGGCACACCTGACCCGTGCCGGCTCTCCAGCAAGGAGGAACGAGCGGCCAAGCTTTTCTCTCCAGGTGTTTCAGGAATGGCCCTGCGGCAGCGGCTGCCATCTCCGCACCTGCCTTTTCCTCCAGCCGAACGAGGGGTAAGCAACGGGGAGGCCCGTTTCCCCCTTGCAGCCCTTTTTCTAAATGGGGTTGCTGGGGGAAAAACGTCCCTCCGAGCCTCAGCCATCCCAGCAGGAGAGCAGCTTGCGGCTGCTGTTACTAGACGCTGAGCTGGGACCCACCAAGCCCGTTTTTCCCAGGGCAGCAGTAACTTTTGCAGTTTCAGGTTCCCTGTTTTCCACGCTGCCGGTTTGCTCTAGATTAGACGTTACCTGCGGACGCCTCTTCTGGCAGGTGGTCCGTGTAGGGTGGCCCGAGGCGGGGGGGCTTGGGCTGGCTCAAAACAACGCTGGGTTGATTTCCCCAGGTGCGATGACCACTGCTTAGCCTGCGAAGGGTCCAGCGGGAACTGTGTCAAGTGTAAGGAAGGCTTCAGCCTCCTCAGCGGCTCCTGTGTGACAAATGAGACCTGCACCAACGGTGAGTAGTTATGGGATAACCACAAGTACCGCAGTTATTCCCCGGTAGCAAAAATGAAGGTTTCTGGGGATTCCCTCCACGGCCTAAAGCTCCTGGGCTTGCTGGGGCACGGCTGTGGCAAGCCAGGCTCCGGCCGTGGCGAGACCAGCAGCTTCCTGGGCAGAGCTGTCGAATGTCTGCTGGCTGCTCGAATGCACGCGAGTGTTTGCATTTCATTACCTTTTAGTCTTGGAGCTAATTCTCCCACTCACTGCAAAGTTTCTTTAGTCCTTCATTAAAACCATGTGAAGGAGCCCCTGAAAAGTGACTTCTTTTCAGTCCTCTCTCTCCTCAAACGCAGGAAAGATTTGCACTGCCTGTTACGTGCAATGTTTGTTTACTCAAAATGTTAATCTGCTCTCGTTTTCTCTTGTTCCTTGCCTTGGCCTCTCAGCTGACAAGACTTTCTGTGAGATGGTGAAATCAAACAAGCTCTGTGAAAAGAAGCTGTTTGTGCAGTTCTGCTGTCAGACGTGCCTTATGGCTGGGTAAAGTTCAGCGGCTGCATCCAGGACTTCCACCAACTGCCAGCCCAGTTTTGCCAAATGTTTAGGACAAAAGTTTATTTTTTCAGCTTTGGGAGAGTTTACATGGTGCTGTCAAGCATTCGCTTGTAAGTTTGATAGCTTTAATATCACTGTCGGTGTGTTTCTATAGCGATATGTTAAGCTGAAAGTGGCTCATACCCTGAAAGATTAAGTCCTAAAAGGCACCAAACAAGCGGTGATATTAACACTCTCAAACGCCCCTTGTGAGTGGGGACCAATGCATGATCCATGTACCCGAGCTCGGTTCTTCGCAGAAACCCTACTGATTTGCCCGTTCAGAGTGGCTGGCAGGCGCCCACGCTGCAAAGGATGCAAGACTTCACACGTCTGCGAAGGAAGAGCCTTTTCTGGTTCGACTCTCAGTAGCCTTTTCTGCTAGGTGACAACTGATACAAATCCGCATTACCAAAAGCCAGCGCGCCGTGTTCTGTACATACGTAAAACGATGAATTGGGTAGTCTGCCCGAGCGGTGCTCTGAAGGCAGCTCTGGCACCCCTTTTCAGATTCAGTCGTTAGCTGTTTCTCTCTGGCCACGAGCATGGCGATAGCTGGAGATTTGAGGACCGAAGCAAGAGCTGATCTAAATGACTTTGCAGGCCTGTTAGCCCAGCGAGTCCATCGGGGCTTTGCTCAGCGTGCTATTGCACACAGGCGAAACCCCTGTGCCTACACAGAGTCCTGTGGACTCGGGGGGGTTCGTCCACATGGATCAGCCTGTGGGATCCCAGCCTTATCACTAAATGTATTTCCCTTCTGAAACTGCTAGTAAGCTGTTGATAGATTAAGTTCTGAAATGAGCTAGATCCTTCCTCTTTGAGCTAAGTGAGATGGTTTCTTAATTAATATCTTCCAGTATTTTGTATTATGATCCTTCCCGTATTTTTGGTGGGAATACTCGTCTCCCTCAAAAAATCCTCGTATTCATGGCAGTGATTTTTCTTGAGCATCTGTTTCCGAAAGGAGATATTCCAGGGATCCAGCCAGGAAACTCTAAATTCTACAAAACCCTCTCACAAAACAAACCTTTTCATGCTCTCTCTTAATAGTACATCATGTGGTGTTTATATAATTGTGTTTAAAATATCCTTGGCTATGTTGTTTTACAGATTTTTTAAAAAATAACTTATACAATCCTTGTTTTTCTCTGTAGATTATTTTTTGTATGGGGAGTGGGGAATCTTTTGTCTTACGTCCTTCTGCTCTTTCCAGCCTCTCTCCAACCTTGCAGAGATGCTCTTTTCACTAGACATATGTAAACAATTATTTCCTCTGCTGCATGACCTGATTTTCATTGTTAATAGTTTTAACAAATTAAACCTTTTGCCAGTGAAATTCACAGTACAAACTATCACCAGTTCCTTATGGAGCTGGGATAATCCCTGCTTGGTTTTGGTTGCAACGATACGCACCCTGCCTGGGCTTGCCCACTAGAGCTTATCTCGGCCAGGTGAAGAGGGGAGAGCCAAACTGTCATCGGTCCTAACCCGAGTGGACCAGAACCAAGTAAAGATGGAGCTTTGGTGAACCGACCTTTAAGTTAATAAACTATTGATCTCCCCTGACAAAGGAATCTGTGCTTTTTCCAAATTCAGCGCAGCCACCACCCTGACCAGAGGCAGGTGAAGGCTGTGACACACCACGTGTCTTTATTTTACTGGACAAGGAAGCTGTCCTGCTCAGAGCTCCTGATCGGCCCCAGAGCATCTGTGGGCAAGATTGCTTATGAACTGCATCTGCAAAAACTTAGACACGTTTATTGTCATAAAGGTCTTTTACCCTCAGAAGAAATGCACCTCCTGAATGTCCCCCGTAGTCACAGATCTCCAGAGCCCTCAAGTAGTATTGACGCTGTCGTTGCTTCATTATTAGCATTGATATTGCATGATCAGCCCGAGCTCCGCAGCCGCGGAGGGCTGTATCCCGCACGGAGCATCGCAGGCTGTCGGCACAGGCAGTGCTCCGCCACGGCCCCCGCGAGCCCCCGCCACATCCCTGCTCCCAGCACAGAGCTGGTGCCCTCGGGGCCCACCTTCCCCCTTCCGCTAGTTGGTAAAGGGGAGGCGATGCTGGTGTCAGGGAGTGCAGGGAGCTCTGGAGCCTTTTGTTTGTTGTGTTGGTTTTGCAATGTTTAATCGGGGGCCAGGTGCCCAGGGTAGTCCCTGGGTATCTGGAATCGAGCCTTATAGGTGTGAAGAGAGAAAATAAATGAACCTTCCCCCCACAAGGGAAGGTGCTCTCTGAGCTGTGCTGCTATGGGCTTGTGTGTCTTCTAGTTCTTCACGTTTATCAGATGATAAGCGTGAACTAATGAGATGGTTTACTGCATATCCTGATTCTTTCTGTTGCTCCAGCATCCCGCTTTTGGTCTTGGGCCAAACCAGAGGTCAGAAGTGGCGTGAAATGCTTCTGGCTTCTGCCATTTAGGCTGTAAAATGAAAAACTTCTAATTCTGTTGCTGTGTCATACAGTCAGAAATGGGAGCTGTGAATGAAGAGTACTGTGTCAGCTTTGGCTTTCAGTTCTCTGGCTCACAGTGGCTGCCTCTAAATACTGTTCCGTGGTATATTTAGATGTACTGAAATGCTAAAAAAAAAAAAAAAAAAAAAAAAAAAAAAAAAAAGATGTTTACCCTTACATCCTTGGCATAACTTAAAATACATACTGGGTGAAGCAATGCAATTTAAGATGACCGGTCCCCAGCGGTCTCAGCTTTATCCTGCTTCCGCTGCCCTTATGAATCCCAGTCTATGGTGGACAGTGCCAAGAGGACCAAATTCTGCACAGTTTGGCTTACACAACAAAATCAGTTTCCAGTATTTCCCAGGGCATTATCTAACTCCCTCAGAAATCATTCTTGGAAAGTAATAAAATTCAGATTATTTATCCAAGCTATTGCAGTGTTTGCTCAGAGCTATTAAAGTCCCTCTGACATCAGTATGCTCAAAGGATCAAAGTGGCTGTGTCTTCCAGATAAATGCCTATTTAGTCAATTTATTAAAGCACATTTCTCTCTTGTCTCTTGGCACCAGTGACAAATCTATAATAGCTGTTTTCTGGAAAAACCTCTTAGAGTAGCCTGACTCCTCGTTTGCTGTTTGGCTGCGAGGGCGCATCCACAGCCCTCTGCTGTTTCATAGCTAGCAAGTGGGGAACACACATCTTAAAAATCATTGCTTTGACTTTCCATTACAAAGAAGGGGCTTTTAAGAGCTCGTGTACAGCATCTGAAGCCAAGAACCTCTCTGCTCTCCAGCCTATAGCAGCTGCAAGGCTGAGGTGTAATACAGCTACACAGCGCTACGGCAGAAAGGTCCACATTTTGTTTAGCCTTGTCAGAGGCAGGACCTGCTTTCCAGGAGCTTGAATCTGCTTTTAATGAGTGCCTGATATGACTCAAGACTGTGCTGTCTTTACCACTGCGTGATTCCTGAGTCACCTACCACAAGTGCCACTAATTCTTTCTTTCTTCCTATGACATCTCTCTTGCTCTTTCTCTCCGAACGTATTTTGAGGAAATGCAGATGCTATGAACACCTGACTATACGTTCTCCTAAATAGCATCAGTTACAGATAGCAAGGAGGCTGTTTTAAGTAGGGTGCACAGGAGCTGCCTGACCCCAGCCCGAACAGAGCCAGCTCTGACGCCGTAATCAGGGGGAACGAGCCAGGCATCACGCACGGGCTGAGGGTGCCAGAGGCTCCCAAAAGAAGAGCTGGTGTGGTACCAAACGTGACTGCAGCATTTAACCCGCTATCAGATCCCCCGAGTTCACAGAAATGTCACAGCTGGTGAAAAAATCCTTCCCTAGATAGCAAGGGATGCAGAAATCACTCTGCCTCACCTGACTCAGGGAGCCTGGAGGGTCGGAGCGTCCCTGGGGCCGCAGGAGCGGTGGCCGCATGACCGCAGGATTTGGGGTCTGCTCAACCACTTCCCTTCCCGCGCCGCCTTCTCCCGCTGCCAGACGGCGGATTTGATGCAAAGGCCCAGCTCAAAGAGGACTGGCCTGGGGCAGCCGAGACCTGCACCAGACCGCTGGAGTTGGCGCCGCTCGGGAGCGCTAAGCCAGCCCAGCGTCAGGTCGGACCTAGCGGCCCGGGTCACCCTTAGAGCTGCGCCGGCAGCGCTGGGGAACAGCAACCAGGGCGGCGTTTCCGCGAAGGAGAAAGCGCGGGGAAGGCCCCGAGGGTGCAGCAGGCACGCGGCCGGCCCGGGCACCGTCCCCTCATCGCGTAAGAGCAGCCGCCCCGCGTCCGGACAGAGGTCCGGCAACCCGC